CCCGCCGCCATAGCCACAGCAACAGCAACGGCTGCAGAAATGCTGTTGCTCCTCATCGCTTTTCCGTTAGGTCTGGGGGGAAAAACCTGCAAGAATAGAGCGGCAGAAGACGGCAATCACGTCATCTCACTAGAGCTGTAAGAGCATCTTTGAAAGCACAGCTGGGCGACCTTGACCTGCAGTAGAATGACCTTGACCCCGAGGCCGGGCAGAGCTGCTTCCTATGCAGTGGGCATGCCCACAAGCACGGGGGATTCACCAGGGCGTGAGCAAAGAGGGATTTAAAAAAATCATCTTCACTCGAGGGTATTCTTTCCATTGATTTTTTTAGAGAGAGTGGAAGGGAGGGAGGAGGGGGAGAGGAGAGAGAAGGGGAGCGAGACAGAGAGAGAGAGAGAGACATCGATGTGAGAGAGACATATCAACTGGTTGCCTTCCCCATGTGCCCAGACCGTGCCCGGCGAGTGAACCTGAAACCAAGGCACAGACTCTTGCCAGGGACTTGAACCCTCAGCCCTTTGGCCTGAGGGCGGATACTCTAACCACTGAACCAACTGGCCAGGGCGAGAGGGATTTTTTTTTGCATTCAGCAAAAACAGCCACGTCTCCAGCACGTCAGGTGGACACTGACGCTCCCTGAAGCCAAGTTCAATCGATGAACGTGCGATCACCAGCAGCTAAGACGGGGTCAGGTTGTACCAGGACAGTGGCTGAGCGGCCCAGCTGGAAAATGACATCCTATTCCCTGAAGGCAACCTGTGTGGACTATAGGAAAGGGATTTCAAGGGAATCTCTTACTTTAGCCGTGAGCATAGTAAACAACGGTTACTTCTTTTATAAACCTTCATGGAACCGGTGAAAAGAAGCCTATCTTAGCCTGAGGGATATTCTACGGCGTGCCCAGTCTTTCCTTTTCCACCGATTTCTGAAGGTAGGTGAGAAATGAGAGGAAAGCTCAGGGGGAGAAAGGAGGCTAGCTCTTGGGGCGTGGTACATCATGCCTTGCTTTCATCTATTATTACAAGTATTACCAAACCCTTGATATTCACAAGGATCATAAAACTCAGTGTTCACTTCATGTAATTGTTCAAGAAAATCATTCCTTTTGAAGAGGAAGGGGGGGAATTTATGTGAGGTTTTGGCAACGACTCGGTAGCCGAGGGAAGGAACTCGCAGTCCCTTTGCATTTACTCTGGGGTCTCCTGAAAGATCACTGTTCCCTCGGAGAGGTTCCCGAATGAGGCTCCCAAATGAAATGTACATAAAGCCTTCGAGACTCTCAGGACCCTCAAACAGCATGTGGTGATGTCCCCGTCCTGGGCAGGAGAGGGCGCCCTTCGTGAAATCGATGAATAGGCATGTGCCTGGAAGATGGCAGAAGGAACAATGCTTTTTTTACTGAAAAATCACCCAAACGGTTTCTCTGGGCCCTTTTCCCGTTGGTCTTCTTGAGTTTCTACAGGCTCATGAATGACCAATTGAACTCAACACCGGTGTATATCTAGAGCTAGGACAGAGACAGACTACAAAACACAAACTGGATTCTAACTGAAGTCTGCGCCCGCAGCCCTGAGTCACTGCAGGCCTCACTCCCGGCAGGCGACAGCGGGCGGCCAGAGACCAGGGACAGGGTCCGAGGCCCAGGGAGGAAGCGCGGGGCCGGGAAGCAGCCCTCCGACTTCGGCCTCAGCCAGCAATGACCTAGCACCAGCAAAGGGACTGTGGCCACTGCCTGCCTCCCCATCAGTAACAAATCACACAAAACCGAAGACGACAGTCACTACAGGGGGTACCTGGGCTTGGCTTCCGCCGTTCCCGCTGCTGGCGCCCCCGCCGCTGCCGCCTCCTGCGCTTCCCGGCTTGTGCTGCTGGGACCCCGTCATCTCCGCCATCCTCCGCTCCATCTGCTCCAGCCGCTCCAGGATGGACATCCTGAACTGGTTGTCTAGGGCGGGACGAGGAAGAGGGAGGTTGGTGCTGGGAGAAGTGCAGCTCGCACGTGGCCTGTCCACGCAGGCAGGGCCGGAGTCTCCTTCCCTGAACCAGCCACGGAGGCTCGTCCGGCCTGGGTTCGTCCTGTGGCAGCGAGTCTGCCGCTGCACACAAGATGGGGCATCTCTCTGGCCCCACGTTCTCAGGTTCTCGAACAGAAGAACCCCTTTATGTCAAAGTCCTGTTTTGGGGTTCCTGGCACCCCACTCCCCAGTGGAAACCTTAAAGAGATAGGGGGGAGGGGCCCTGAGCACAAATGGAATGAGTACAACTTCATTTAAATCAGTGGGGAAGGGTCTACAGACACGCATTTTTGAGGTATCAGCTGCTTTACCCAAACACTGGGGAAAATGATTTAAAAAAATTTTTTGTTGTTAATCCTCACCAGAAGATATTTTTTCCATTGCTTTTCAGATAGAGGGGAGGAGGAGGAGGAGAGAGACACACACAGAGAGAGAAACATTGATGATGCAAGAGAGACACATTGACCAGCTGCCTCCCGCTCAAGCCCCGACTTAAGCACGTGTCCCCGGCTGGGAATCGAACCCTTGACCCTTTGGTGCACTGGCGATGCTCCAACAGGGAGCCACAGGGGCCAGGGTGGGAAAATGTTGTGAGAATTAAACGAGTTAATATTCGTGCAGGTTCAGAACACGGTTAAGTCCCAGATGTGCGTGCCAGCCATCAGCGTCTTCAGACACACGACCTAAATGTCCTTGGACACCGACAACAGCTGTGACAGATATTCCCCTCCCGTGGCTCACGGCAGAACGATTTTCCAAATACAGCGTCTGACTCAGGAAAAGGAATAACCCGGAAAAGAAACACTTTCTCGGCATCCCTTGCCGTCCTGACTGTAAACCCTGACAGTGATTAAGGCTTATTGGTTCTACTGGAGATCAAACAATGGACCGGATGCTTCCTCCGTGCCCGTCACCGCTTTACAAATATGAACAACGGTCAGGTGAGGTCGGGACGGTTGTGACCCTATTTCTCAGATGCAGAAACTGAGGCCGGGGAGATAACCATCTATCTGGCTCGAGGACCGGGCTTCCCCGCTGTGTGGGAACCGCGGGAAGGAAGATTATGGGGAAGAGAAGAGGCGCATGGATCAGAGTCTGAGCCCAGGGAGCGGAACATTTTCTCACAGTGAGACAGCCTCTCCCGTTTCCCAGGAACACTTCCAGTGCTGGGTGTGAATGCATTTCACGGCACTCAGCCACAAGAGCAGAAGGAGGAAAACTACTTCTCAGGAACTGATTTGGTTCCCAGTGAGCTACTTCCAGGAGCAGCACCGAGAGAAGAGCCCCTCCTCTTTCAGCGTGAAAGGCCAGTCGCGCAGCCGACGGACAACAGATGTGAGAGCCTGCCGCTGGCGTCTCCGTGGCTGTCACCCGTGGGAAGCGGCCCGTGGGGCGGACTGTACACGGCCCACGTCACGCGGGACCAGCAACGGCAAACGCGGGACGACCCCAGAGGTGGCGCCGGAATCCTTCCTCGTGCCAACCCCTTCCCCGTTAGGAAACGGACATTTTGCAGAATCAGGGCCCCTGCATGTGGAGCTGGCTGAAGGCTGAGAGTTTCATCTTCCGGTTAGAGCCTGACTCCTGGTGGTGTGGCGGTGTCCTTCGTGGCATCTGTATGGACTGTCCCTTACTCCTGACGGTGCCGCCCAGACAGCCACCTGCCTCTGCACCTACGTGCGGAAGCTCCGCGCCCCAGTGACCTGGTCAGGCCTCTGTCGCCCTCCGACTGTCTCTCTGGCAGCCCACGGACGCTGCGTCTATTAAATGACTGTTGTGAGCACATGTGCCCATGTTTGGAGCTGGTGGCCAAGATGAACCCTGTCAGGGAAGGAGCGGAAGGCACAGGAGGGCTGCCCAGCTGTGGTCAGCCCCGAGGGAGCCCTGTGGCCGTGCCCGTGGCCACCTCCCTGTCCATCCGAGTGGCTTTGTTCTGGTGTGCTGGCCTGTCATCGCCGCCCCTCCCCACCACTGGCTGTGGGCACTGCAGAGACAGACAGAGCCCTCCTGACACCATGGGACCAGGCCCTGCCCACGGCATCGCCCGTCAAAGCGTCTGACAGTCGCCCCGACGCCGACGTGGTGATTCGGTGTCTGCCACGGACAGACGGACCGACGTCCCTGGCTTCTGCTCTGGGGCTTGTGCTCCCGGCCATCCCCCCAGCTCGCTCTGCAGGGAGCTCTCAGATGCGATTAAGCTGCTCTGAGAAGCACTTCATGAAGACACTCCAGCAATTACCTGCCTCTTAACCAAGTTACATCATGCATTAAGGCATCTCGGGGCCTCTCGGCTCCAAAGGGGGTGGTTTGGGGAGATGAGTCATGTCAGAGCCATCTCGCATGGAAACAACGGAGCCGCATCCAGGGCGCGGCGAGAGGCCGAGTCTGTGGTCCCGTGCCCTCTCCTGGGGCGAGGCAGGGGCGAACAGGGTGGGCACAGCTGCCCGCCTGCAAGGCTCACGCACACACACAAACGCGGTCCTCACATCTCCCTTCCTGGCAAGTGAAACAGCAACTTTACGCTTGGTCTGGCCTGACAGCTTCATTATGGCCATTAACACGTGACCGTAAAATAGTTGGCAAATTCAGCATGTCACCTTCGCTGTACGTATGTGTGTGATTACAGGATAAAGGAAATATAATTTCTGAGAAGACAAACTTTTCCTGATGACACTGGAGTAAGAAAAGCACATGTGAAGACTCATTTATTCCCGCACAGATATTTGCTGGGCACCGATGTGTGCCAGGCCTGGGAGGGGCGCCTTGACCATCAGTGACGATAGCCCTGCCCGCACTTGTTGGCCAACAAGTAACTCCCGCAGCCTGAATGGGGGGGGGGGGTGTAGTTTTCAACCAACATGTTGGGGGTCAGAGAGAAAACAAATAATATCCTAGGGGCCCAGAGATCTGGCCCACGTCTCGCCCATGACGTTCAAACAAAGCCCACGTGACTCCGCTTGAGGGATTCCACGCATCGCGGGAGCACGTCCCGAGCGCAGGGAACAGCCGGCCGCTGTCCGGGCTCGGGCTCCCGCCTGGCGCCGCCTGGCTTTCGGTTCTCGGCGAGAAGCTCTGGCTACCTCGTCTCACCACAGAACACGCCGCTGCCAGTGCAGAAAGTTCTCTAGTTTTTAAAAAATAGTTTTTTATTGATTTCAGAGAAAGAGAAAGGGAGAGGGTGAGAAATGGAAACACTGATGAGAGAGAAACTTCGATGGGCCGCCTCCTGCACGCTCCCTACTGGGGACCAAGGCCGCACCCCGGGCACGTGCCCTGACTGGAAATGAAACTGGCGATCACTTGGTGCACAGGATGACGCCCAACCCACGGAGCCACACGGGCCGGGCAAGGTTCTCCCGCTTTTCACACCCCTGGGTAAGCCACGTTCTCAGCCCCGGCTCAAAGACCGGCAGGGCCAGGACTGCAGCCTCCACCCTGCAGTGCAATCTCGGGGGGAGAGGGGGGGAGAGTAGGGTGTCTGGGCACCCTCTGTGCCTTTCTGACAAGTTCTCGGGTGACACTGAGGCTGCGTTTCCGGAACCGCGGTGCCACGACCAAGCCTCCTTCCAGAGCGTGAACCTGCCCCCCAGGAGCGGCTTAAAGAGGATGGAAGAGCCACCTGGTGGAGCAGCAGCACAGGTTCCGACCCAGGGACACAGGAGACCGACCTCCTGTAATCACGCCAGGCCCCTGCACACGGCTCGGTCCACACGCCGGCTGCACCCTCTCCGCGCACCTGCGCTGCTCTGCACCCTCAGCGCCCACCACGGCCCCTCCTCCTGCTTCTCTCCGCTGACCTGTGGGACGCCTTCCAGGTGTCTGCCGGTGCCTCTGGCTTTTCTCGCAAGCAGCCCATTTACCTGCCCAGTTTCAGGGAATGAGGACTTTCAATTGACACGCCATTCCTTCCAGTACCTTCCAGGTGTACAGTGCACGTGCGCGTGCACACACACACACAAACACATGCACCTACACCCCAGAAAAAAAGCCACCGATTCTGACGGCTTTGCAGTGACAGTCTGGCTTGGGATTCGCTTAAAGTCTCCTCACGGGCCTGTCCAACCTGCACCCCCTTTGAGCGGAAGCAGCATTTTTACTTAAAAAATGTTTTTAAAATATATTTTTATTGATTTCAGAGAGGAAGGGAGAGGGAGAGAAACATCAATGATGATCAAGAATCATTGATCGGCTGCCTCCTGCACGCCCCACATTGAGTATCGAGCCCACACCCGGGCATGTGCCCTGACTGGGAACCAAACTGTAACCACGTGGCTCATAGGTCGATGCTCAACCACTGAGCCCCCCGGCCGGGCAGAAGAAGCATTTTCAGACTGGGCAGCTCTGAGAGGGCGGGAAAGGCACTGGAGTGGAGCTGGAGCCCTGGGTTTAATCCTGCCACCGTGCGACTTAGGAAAAATAATGGCCACTTTGCACCTCAACTCCCCCATCTGTAAAATGGGGACAGTACTGTCTATCTTATTGTTGTTGGTGAGGACGAAATAAACGACTGTGTGAAATCTCTTTAGTGGTCAGTGTCTCTTTAGTCTGAGTTATTATTAGCCATAGCTATGGGGGCATTTAAAAAGAGTTTACAATGTTTTGAATAATTTTAGCTGGACCGGGAGCTGCAGAAGGTAGAGCTCCCATGAACCTTCACCCAGTTTCCCCTCCTATTAACATCTTATATAACCACGGCGCACATGTCAAACACATCACTACTAGTAACTGAGTTACAGGCTCAGATTAGATTGCACCTTAGGATGAGAATTGATGTTCTTGTTCTGTCCCAGGACCCAGCCAGGACACCCCGTTGCAATGAAATGTTACATTTCCTGTCTGCTCCCTGACGGCTTCCTGCTAGCCCCTTATTTTTCATGACTTGAGCGGTTTTGAAGGTTTTGAAGACTGCGGTCAGGTATTTGGTAGCTGT